CTCGTCTGTATTATGGCCAGCAATATGTTTTGGGCCCCGAGAATACACCCAGAGCACTGCCAGACTCCACGCATGGCGGAGGGCAACCACTCAAGGATTAAGGTGGTGGAAGGTAAAGTCTAGCCATTGACCTTTACTTTTCCTTTCCTTTGTAGTGGAAAAGCTTTTTTTGCCTGGGCTTCTGGCCTGAGGGTGTTCTCAGTTTAGATTTTCAAGCTCACATCTTTCCTATGTAGAAAAAAAATACCCCAGCTGAACTGGATGCTGCTGCCGTGGCTCAGGTGACAGACTAAACTTTGCTTTTTATCACCTGCTCAACTCTCCTGAGAAAATGTAGCTTGAATTCTCCAATTCATGCCTTTGTTTCCCCTTCTCCTTTTTACATCACAGCGGTGTAACTTTTCAGCCTGGTTTGAGCAAGTTGTGTCTGTGCTTCGTGAGAGCTCTGTAATGCACCATCCTTCTGCAGCAGATCACTCAAACGAGCAACTGCCACAGCTGAATTTCAGCGTGGGTTTATTTAATGATGTGATCCTTCCTTCGGTCCACTTGGCTATGACACAGGTCTCGCTAGTGGCTGAGCTTTACAGGTTTTAAAATAAACTCCTCTCCAGTGGGTTTAGCGTTACTGTCTTGTTTTTGTGTTTGGTTTTTTTTTTTTTTTATTTTGATGGGCGTCAGCTTTGTTTTGGACTTAACCCTGATGGCAAATCTTACTAGCACCAGATGTTAAAAGACAGAGGGTTGCTCCTCTTTTTCTTGGCACAATATATTCCCACTGCACTCTGTTTAATACTATCTGAACAGTAATCTGATGATTGGGAGAGGTAGTGAAATACAGCTTTACGCAGATGATCTCTTTTCATCTCTTCAGCTGACTCTTCAAGGCACTGCATTAAGGGATCTGTTTGATAAGGAATTCATCGCTTCTGAGGGCAATTATCATTCTTTCTCCTTCTGTTTCTCAAATAGGAAGGAGAGTTACACATCCTTCAGTGTAACTTTGAAGACAGTATCCAGCCACTCCTCCCTGGGAGCTGTGTGTTCTGGAACAGACTTGACACAGTAGCTGTTAAATTACAGGGCTGGAGCAAACAGCATCTTAAATTTGGATCCTGTGGAAAATCCCAGAAAAGCAATAAGCACTCGGAGTACTCTATCTAGATATTTCCAGCATGCGCATAGTCGTGGTTTCTGTATGTCTTCGCATCCTTTTATCCAACCAAGTGATTTTGGGGGTCACTGTCATTAACAGTACTGAGATATCCGGGCTTTCCCCCTGCCTAGCAGAGGGTGGATGCCTGCAGGTAAACACCCTGGTGCCCACTTTCCCTCCATGAGATGAGCAACCAAACTGCTGTTTGTGCAAGAACATGCCTCTCCGTGAAAAACTGGCTGACATGTCCCAGGCAGCAATTCCTGCTCTAGCGTGGGGATGATAAAATAACGCTGCCTCTGTTCGGGTTGGCCTCTCGACGGAGAGGTGCCTGTGTTAGAAATGCCTTGTGCTCTCACTGCTACACTGCTGCCGATCTAATTACTTTTTCTTTTGTCTGTCTCTTTCCTTTCCCCATCTTTCTTTTTGTGTTGTACGTTTCTGCATCCTGTAGTACAAATCTGTGTTTAGGTCCTACTCCCAGGACTTTGTGCCTCACAACCAAGTCTCCATACCTCCTTTCCTGTCTTCTATCTCCTCCTCCTGCTCCACCCCACCTTTTCCACCCGTCCATCCATCTCAGAGCTCTGACCTAGCGGTGCCCGCCGCAGCCAGCCAGTCACCCAGCACTGTGGATGTGCCAAACTCCTCTTCTCAGGAGAGCAGCTTTAACGGGAATGCTCCTGTCTGCCTTCCTTCTGAAACCTCTTTCACTGATTCTCTCCAGACGCCTTCGGTGAGACTATCCAAAGAGATAATGCACCTTAACACAAGGCTGGGTTTATTTATTTTTTGAAAGAAAATGTCTCTCTTTTATTAATACATGCTAAATGTGATCTAGTCCGGTTTCCAAAATGTGTGTGTGAGTTGAAGAGAGGTGATTTCATATAAAAATGGTGGCTAGAAAAAATGAACAACCTCAGCAGGTTTGAGAAAATGTTAGCACATGTGTAAGAAATATAAAATGTCAAATGCTGGTGAAGGGGAGAGGAGAAGTTGCTGTAGCTTCCTGCAATTGTAATACAAAGCTGAGGAAGGTAGAGGAGTGTTTTGTGAGGGTGGTTGTTTCTAAACAGAGGCTCCTAACAGTCGTTTGCATCCTGCAGTTGCTGCCATGGCAGGATTTGGTGACTGCTCCTTCCTAAGTCACCGCTGAGCCCCAGGAGCAGCGGGTGCAGACCTGCTGTCTCTCCTGTGCATAAACCTGTTGCTCTCTCCAGGCTCCTGCTCTTTCCAGTTACCAGCAGCCCTAGCTGTGCGCGTGGAGGCAGTGCACGTTGGTGCAAAGCATGACATGTTGGTGAAGTTACGACTAACGCTGTTCCCACACTGATACGGCACTACTAGTTTGAGGTCCCAGATCAGTTTTGCAGATCACTGAGCAGGTTTATCCATTACAGCTACTTTTTTAAACGCCTCGTTTTCGAGGTAGTTCCTCTTTTGTGTGCTACAAAGCCTCGAGTTGATGGGATTAGAGCTGTCAGCACAGTGCATGCTAGTGCTGCCTCTTCACAAAGTTTGGAAGAGGGACACTGCAGAGTAAATGATCAGGTTTCCACACTTTGGACCTGACCTTGCTGTTGCATCTTCCTCGCATCGGGTCCTTGTTACAGCCCAGAAGTCCTCAGGTTTGGTTTAGCCTGGCGTGATGGCTCTAGTCTGTGCTTGTAGTATAGTTTGGGAGATACGTTTGACACCCTCTGGGCTGCAGAGCTGGGATGCCTTTGGTGGCAGGACTACAGCACAGGTCGGACAGGCACTTGTGTGTCAAGCTCTGAATGCTCAGCTTCCGTAACCTTGCAATCCGCACGTGCATATCGCTCCTTCACAGTCTCAACGTGAAGCCCATGGCAGCTCTTGCAAAGCATGCCTGCTGCTGTCCTGCTGTAGCTCAGAGCCTTCGGGATAGTCCTTGAGAACCAGAAAATAATTACCCCCGGCAAGGTACAGCCTCAGTGGCCAGTGTTGGCCACTGAGCTGGAGGAAGGGCTCCCAGCTAGGTGACAACAGCCGCCCAGAGCACTTCTCCTCCCAGCCCGTGGGCATGTTCTCTCACCAACGTTAAGTGCTGGCGGCGAGCACCATCACATATTTCCTTTCATCCTGTCTCCCTTAGAGTGAAAACGCCAGTGAGGAAGCTGGTGAGGGTGAATACGTCAATCTGTATTCCTCTGGCCAGAGCAACGGGGAACTCCCACGCTCTGAAGGAGTAAGTAACCTGGAGAGGGCCGGGCACCGGGAAGGGGCTGCCTGGTGCATGCTGAGCTCACGCCGGGGCTGACGCGCTTGGCACCGGCCCCTTCCGCACACCGTGGAGCTCCTGCGTCCGTCCTGCTGCCCCGGCTCCCTTGCTGGCGGCCCCTCTGCTTTGCCCACTCCTGGCTTGCAGGCCTGGGTGCCCTCGCGGTCCGGGTGGAGAGCAGGCAGTGCTTTGGGGGCCGCGGTGAGCCCCGGCAGGAGGTAGGGACGGCTTTTCCTGCCGCGCTGTTCCCTTTGTGCTTCGCTGTCTGTTTGGAGCTGCTTGCGTGAGGTTCCCTTCCAGAAAGCTGCACCCTGACCAGCACCGTCCTGGGGCCATGTCTATTCTTGAAATTGCTTTGCCTTCCCCATTTTAGTACAGAAAGCCTTGTGCTCTGAATTTTTTTTTTCCTTCACCGTTTGGATACAAAGTGATTGATTTAGCACTGTCATGGCACGCCATTTCTTCCTTTACTCAAGCCTCATATCTCATATTTCCTAGAGGAGACAGGGCATTTTCCATTGCAGGGAGGTACCGTCTTCCTGTCAGGTCATAGGAAACAGCAGCAGAGGTCTGTGGCGATCTTTTTGCGTGCCCTCATCTTGGAAGGCACATCTCCTACAGGATGTCTTGGAGACCTTTATCCATGCTGGTGTTAAATATGCCAAGAGATAGCGCTCCCATCACTTCCCTTCAGGAGACACATCTAGGCAGGCCCATCCTTTTGGGCAGCTGTGAGCTGGTTCTCGACTTTGAAGCAAAGGGCTTTACAGATATAGTCTGGAAAAATTCTGCAGACACTAAGAAACCTAAACTCAGCAGTGTGTTTTCCAGGCCGAATGGATAGCGTGTAGGTGGTTTCAGTCCTGTCTGTTTGGTAGGCTGAACTTCCAAGTTTCACTCTGCATGTTAAAAAATTCTGAATGCCAACACTGTTACATTAATATTCCCATTTGCCGTTCGTGGCTATTTGTCTCCTTAATAAATGGCTAATTTAAAATGCTCTGTCTTTACTTTGAGCTCTCTACCTGCTGTTCCATGCCACGGGTTCAGATGGTTCTACTCTTTTGCATTAGCTTCATTTCCACAGATGTGAATTGTGAAGTGGAAACATTGCATCGTTGTGTAACCTCTTCTGATGGGAGAGCAGGGAGGTAGGAATGTCAGTGTGCATCCTCCCCCCAAGACAGGCTGGTCTATTGGGGGCTGTGACCAGGAGGGGAACTGAAACTGGAAAGCTTAGAGCTGGCTGTGTCCATTTTGATTAAAGCAGAAGGCAAGTGTATTTCAACAACAAAGGGAAAAAAGAGTGGTGAGAGGGTTAAAATCCAAGACAACAGCTGACTTGTGTTGTAACTTTCAGCATCGTTTCACAATGTTAAAAGCAAACAGTACTAATTACACTAGTCTCCAGAGATGGTCCCAAATTTCCTGTCTAATTAACTTCTGTGTTTTCCTGGCATTTGGCATTAACTTGCATCAATCTTTAACCGCTCTGTAGGAATTTACAATAAAGGGCCATTTAGAGGCAGTCAGACTGTAAATGCAAGGCTAGCTGTGGTGTAGGACCCCATGTAATAATGAAAAACTTCTTTCTCTTTGCAGGAATCTCCCTCTGTCAAAGACAGTCACACCAAAGACTCCGCTTCGAACAGCAGTGCCATGGGGAAGGAAGGCAAAGATGGTGCTGAAAGGTGAGCCTAACTCCCCTGGTCCTCCTGCTTCCCAGCCTCAAAGGGTACAGCATCTCACCAATGTCCCGTCAGCCCTGCCCTCCACCAAACCATCCTTGGGGCTGCCCCATCTGCCTTCAACCTTCTCGATGCTCTCTAAACTTTAAGCCCACTTTTTTTGCACAACTGGTGAGCGGTGGGATCCTGCTGAACAAGGAGATCCTGGCAAGTTGTCGTGACTTAACTTGGCAAGCTCGCAGGGGTTAATGCAGCTTGTGTTAGCCATCCTAAGTCCATCTAATTGGTAGTCCTGTCATTGACACTGGCTGCTCCCTCCTGCTTACAGGGAAGCAGGAGTCTGTATCGCTGTTGGGAAATAGTCTTCCAGAGGGGAATTTCTTCCTAACCCTGCTAGTTAGAGGCTGGCTGAGGCCCCAAAGCAGGAGGCTTTATATCCTTTCTAATGCTCTTAGCTATCATTTGTCTATGTAAATGAAGAGGTTCAGGCTGTAACAGATGGGCTTCAGGAGGAGTGCAGTGAGCGCTTCCCTGCTGCTTGAGATTGCTCTTCAATTGCATTTCTAAAGCAAAAATAGGGAACAGCATTGTTTTGTGTGTGACAGTCAACTTCCCTCCCCCATTTTCCTGCAGTTGGTTTGAGGGTTTTAATCCCTGCAGTGAAGGAGACAATGCAGGAGTGCTCTGCAAAGCTCACTATCTGATGAAAGTACAGACTGGCGCACGGGATTTTGGCCTGTGCCTGGGGTGAGCTATAAAGAACATGCATACTTTTTTTTTTTTTTTTTTTTAAGGAATACAGGCACAGACAGCATGTGTCCAGGCACAAGACTACCAGCCCTTGGTGGTAGGAACACTAGGGTTGTGGATGTATACCAAAAAAAGTGGTCAGAGCTTTCAGGTCTATCTTACTGCAAAAAGAGAGACTCATCTCCCCTTGTAGCAGCACGATGGGTCTTGAGCTGACTAAGATATTTATCTGTAGAGTATGCTCAGTCTCTGTACATTTGAGGAAGGGCTTTAGATCTGTGTGCGCTAAAAATTCAGTGGATTAAGGAGACACGGAAGCATGTACTCATGCAGGGCATAGTAAAATCCTGTCTACCAGAAATGCAGGCAGATAAGTATTCAGATCCTAAAGGTTCCTTCTCTTTTTCAAGACATGCACAAAGCAACAGAATTGGAGCTAGACATTTGGACTTGTTTGCAAAAGATTTACCTCCAGGCTCTCTGTGTACTTACGGTCGTTTAATGAAGGTTTGTATGCTGAGAGTTTGGGTGGACCCAGCATCTCTTCCCCTGGATGGGCAATGACACTGGTGAGTATTTGCCTTTTTTGTTACAGGCAGCAGCAGTCACCAGATGCTTTGGAATCATCACAGCTGGAGGAAGAGGTAGATGAGCTATCCCTTATTGACCACAGTGAAATTATGGCTAGGTTAACGCTGAAGCAAGAGGTAGGTGCATTCAAGGTTTGTTTTCTTACCCTTTGGTTTATGCTGTATTGAAATCTGATTCTCTGTGTGCACAAGCAAGGCATCAGCTTTTATTTGATGGGAAGAACTAGGTTGCAGCAGAAGTGGTATACAGCTTTATGTGTGCAGGCTGTTGTGAAAGTATGAGATGCTGGTACAGGCAGGGAGCATCAGCACTGAGTGGGGGTTTAACAAAGCGTGAGATGTCTCTAAAAACCAGCTCATCTTGTGCCCTTTTCCCAGGCTGTTCCTTCCCACCTCTTTAGCTTGCTTTAGCTCTTTAGTCTGAAATGAACCTGCACAGTAAATCCAGGTGCAGGTTTATGTTGTTGGCCTTTCAGTCTGAAGGCAGCTTTAGCAGATTTCCTGAGCAGGACGTTATATTACTGATGTGGAAGAGCAGCCAAAGTAACTGTTTCTGTATTTGAGAAATGGTTTTGTTTCTAGCCTTGGGTGCACTCCCAGACAACTTTGCTCACTGTGCTCTTGAACCAAGCTGTCTCTGACATGCAGCTTGAGGGAATATGCGGGCTTTTGAAGCTTTCAGACTGTCAGGGGCTTGTCTGAAAAACAGAGAGAATGTATCATTTACTGGCTCTTTAGGAATGTTCTTTGGTCAGCCGAGATGCACAGGAGAGAGTGAGAATCTATTACTCATTCTTCAAGTAGTATTTCACGAGTCTTGCCAGAGGGTCACCTGAAAAATTCACATCTTGGACATAGCTGCTCCATGGCTTTCATCCTTTTTTTGCATACTGAAATGACAAAGACATTGCTAAGGGAAGCCAGACATGACTCCAGTCTCCTCTGCAGGAATATTTCCTTAAAAAAACAATTAAAAATCAGTGATTTCTGAACATGTGGGACTAGCATGCCTGTGTCAACCCCTAACTTCTTTTTTCTCTCTATTCTTTACGGTCTACATGTTTGAAACGGTATAGAGCTGCCATTGCGAGCTGTTTCCTGCAGCATGGGAACTGCTGGCTGAGTGATAGATCAGTTTTGCATATTTTTAGTTGTGAATTGCAGCAGCTAGAAGAAAGTTGTTTTTAGAGAGTGGTAAGGCAAGGGTCAAGCAGCTAGCAGGGCTGTTTTCTGCTCCTGGTTATTGGATTGCTTCAGGTGACCTCCAGCCAAATAGTTCCAGATTAGGGAATTAACTTGCTAGGTTTTGATGTTCCAGGAACATGCAAGTTGAATGCATGACCTCTCCCCTCCCATCCACTGTGGTACATGATCCCGCACTTTGAGACAGTTCACACAGTGTTATACTGCTCCGTTAATGGTCTTCTGGGAGCGTTTGGGAGTCTGGGACATTTCTGTTCATTCTTCTGTGGGCAGAAGGTTCAGCTTTCACTGAGCTTCACAGCCTGGCCTTAAGGAGTCAGAGACCCCAAGTGAGGATCAGCCCAGATCGTCATCTGGGACACCAAGTGTTTTATTCAAATTCCAGGATTAGCCCAGCACTGAAGACCATGTCCCAGCTTGCGCTGTGAGCAGTGCCAGGAACGTTGTGTACTCTGCCAATGATTGCTGAGTTTGAACCCCAGAGATGGTAAACCAGGCCGGAGGGAGCTGGGGCCATGTCTAACATGTTTCTGTTCTCATTGCAGGGAGATGATGGGCCAGATGTTCGTGGTGGATCTGGAGACATTTTGTTAGTGCATGCAACAGAGACCGACAGGAAAGGTACAGTGCATGCACCAAAACAGAGCTGAGGAGCGTGCAGCATGGCGTGGCCTTTTGCTGCTTGTCTTCTGTGTCTGTGCGGTGCACGCAGTCGTGATGTGGCTGCAGGCAGCAGGGTGGAGAGGACCGCATTCGTGATCCTCCAAGTTGAGGGGGAATTGTGCTTATCCTCGGTGGAACGGAGATAAGCTGGATAAGCGCCTGTTCGTTTCATTTAGCAGCAGGGATGGTATTAACTCCTCATAACCCTTGCCCAGATCTGGGAGGCAAGGCACACCAGTGGAGTTGATGACAAGTTGCTGCATTGGTGTCTCCGTGCCTGCCAAGGTAGGCCACCACAAATGCAGGTGTAACTGGTCCTGTTTTCAGAGGTGCTCCTTGCCCTTTGAACTTCAGGGCAGCGGTGATGTAGGAGTTGCTGGAGTGACTATTGCATCAAAGTAGGAGAGGAGGGTCGCTGGTTTGGGTCTAATGCTGTACCTGTGGGCATTGGGCAAGCTATCCAGGTGCTGGTCTGCTGACATTCCTTACTTCCAACTCATTGTGTTGCTTCCTAGTCCTGCTCTGTACCGCTTGCATGCTGGTAGCCACTGAGGCTGGTTCAGAGAGGGAATCCACAGGACAAGAAAGGAGATGTGGGGGAGGAAGAGAGGGTCTGGCAACCCCTAGCTATAGATTTGTTAAAACCCCACTTTATCTCTCCAAACCCAGTCACCACCTACATGCAGCTGCACCGTTCCAAGACCGGTGGCAAAGACAGGCTTTGTGATGTTTCCAGAGAGTGATTTCAAACCTGCCAAACACATTTGTGCTGATGGCTTTAACCAGAATTGATCTCCTTGTCTCCAGGGATGTAAGGCAAAATGCACTAACCCACTGAACCACTCAGCGCTCATATTTTAGAGGTTTGATAGTCAAAGGGGAAATATCTTTCATGTGCATTTTTAAATGGCAGGGTTTTTACTGTAGCATAAGGTGTTTGCAATTACTTACCAGCACAATTCAGCTAGCAAGAAAATCCTTCCCCTAACAGCTATGTTTCCCTGTTTACATCAGGCATTGAATCCAGGCAGAAGGGACCAAAGTTAGGAACGTACTAGAGAGAAGGAGGCAATTGATTGCACCATGGATTGATATGTATATTTAAAAAAATACAGTCTAAATGAGATGGTGGAAATACCCCTTATAAAAATGCTGAAACTGGAATAGGGAAGCTCTGATTTATTCCTGCT